AAACAGCGTTCGTAAATAATCACTTCAAAGACAATTTCTCACGTGTAATACAGATAACTATAATTACTATAATTGTTAGAGCCAATATTCTTTATCTGTCAGTTTGATTATGTTGGCTTTACTTGTTACAAACAGTATTAATGTTAACGCTGAACTGACCTATATTTCTTATTTGTTTTTGCATTCTTCCTAAATACCCAATATACACATTTCTAGCTAACTGGGGGCCTCGGTGGTCGAGTAGTCTAAGTAGAACTTCGTCTACAGCAATCACTGGCATGAAGACACTGTTTAAGAGTTCGAACCCCGCACGTGGCAGATGCATTCGACTCCGATCTTAATTGACTTGGATTGCCAGTTTTCCTGCCGAAGGTTGGTTGGTTTTCGTCAGGCACTCCGGCTTCCTCCATATTTAAAAACTGGCCTCAACGATATAGCCAATAATACTGAAAGTGGCGTTGGTTACCAACAATCAATCAACCAATCAATCTAAACTAATTATCAACAAGCCTATTTTCGTTTACTCCTGTGAAAATAAAGATTCCAAATAAATGAATCTAATGAATATAGACGGGTTTATATATAAGTGACCTAGAAAACATGGGCGCATCCATTGACCTCTCACGTGACCAATCCGCCATTACAACCGTGAAAACTAACGCACGTGTATTGATCAAAACATTATCGATTTTCTGTTTACATTTGTATTTCCTTCATTTTCTTATTTATTTCACTATGGATACTGCCGAAAGTTATAAAAAAGGTGGAGGCATTTCTTGTGCAGTTAATAGTTGTACATTCAAATAACACAAATAATTCTAGAAAATTTCAGATGTGCAAAAAAATCAATAAATAAAATATGTGAACTATCATCGTGACAAGTTGTGCCGACTGCACACAATCCTTTTTTTTAATAAACTTTCTATGAAAGTAAAATTACACTGTCAGACGAATGTTGATACGTCGTCAAACGAAATTATCTATGAAAATTTATCCGATGACCACAGTGCATCTGCCCTCTGTTTGTATAGAAGATCTACACATCAGATGGATCCAGGATTTTGAAAAGGGGGGCCGCGGGTCCCCAAACAAGACACAATTTGTAGTGGAAGCGGTAAAAAGTCTGAATTAACCATGAATGAAGCTTCATAGATTGCCTGGGCACCCCCTAAATCCGTTCCTGCACATTTCTTTAGATAATAACAATGAAACCTACCCGAGGCTATACATGCATGTAGTTATAATTGGATGCAAATCAAACAAATATGAAGAGACGATTTTTGTTTATACATGACGACTATCTTTAGGCTGCAAAATGGACAGACGTTCCGACAACATTAACTCAGACAAACATATTGTTAACAGAGGAGTAAGGAGTTCAAAATTGAATAAAATCAGGAAACCACGTCAGCGTATATAGACATAATTATGAATGACAGTTACGCCTTATTGTATACTTGTCTTATGTAACTAAGTTTTCTTTACTTTAGTGGAATAAATACACAATTTATTTTTCAACTACGATATTGCAGATCAGCTGTTGCTCGATCGTACTGATGAGGTTAACACTTAGTTTGATGTTTGGTTATTTGGGACGGCGCTTTCGTATTTCGAAAATTAAGGCTTGTAAACTATTGTATTCCTGGGGGCCAGTTCTTGCTGAAAAACTTAAAGGTTTTACAAACAGCTGCATCCATAGACAAATCACAGCAAAACTTACTGTTAAGGGCACTTCTCTATAACCCTCGTCTTAATGGTCCATATATGAAGGAATATGTGTGCTTAAAGTATATATTCACTTTAGTCGGATGGTCCATTATACATCCCTAATGTAATACTGTAATTCTGTATTTCACTGTATTATATATATATCGGTGACTTATAAAGGAGTTTAATACAGAGTCAGGATGAAAATATACGAGACCTCTGTTTTGGGGTGCGGTGGGGAGGGGGAGTTGGCAAAAAACTAAATGACGCTTTTAAAACATAGTTCTAATCATTGCTTTTAATTTACACGTTTGCGTCTTTTGTGGTTAAATGACATTCATTTATTTTAAGCACGGGCCGGAGCATGATGTTATACTATACATACTAGTAGTTTCATGTCAAGTAATTTTTCTGCAAAAGAAATTGGAATCGAACACATTAGTAATATAATAACTATATGATAAAATGGGCCGTGAAAGTTCAACACTTCTTCGGCCCAATTAAATAAAATGGGCCGTGAAAGTTCAACACTTCTTCGGCCCAATTAAATCGCAAAGTTAAGTCTACATATGGCCCGACGCACTGATAGCATATAGCGCAATCCATGCGGAGACAAAAGTGATACGAAAACGTCACTCAATTTTGAGCAGTATACGTGAGTCGAACCACAAGCCAAAAAATCGTTTCTGTGAAAAAGTTTATCATCAAACGGTACATGTCTATAGGTATATTTTTTTCAGAAGAAGTAAGTAACCGCGCGCCGGAGAAAACGGGCTGTCGAATATAGGACCGTCGGATTAGAGGATTGTTGAATTTTAGGACTGACTCATTATAGGTTTGCATGACTACAGAAATTTCTTTGAGTTTGATAAAATTGCACCTGGTTTTTCTGATATGTCACATTCGACCCGCAAGACTATTTATTTTTATTTATGTATGTGTTATAATAATCAATATTATGATTACCAAATGATTAAAATCGAAATGTAACTTGGGATTCGTATTTGTAAATATTATGTCCCAGTTCTAACGTATCACTGAATACCGTGAGTTATATTTTAAGGACACGACACCTGGCCTGCAATACACTTCTAATTTTAATGTCCATTCCTTATCTAATTACTTTATTATTTATTTTGAAATTTGCCGAGGTCAAGTACGCTTCACATTCTTGTGTTTACGTTAATTATATGCGGTCTGGGAAATAGATGTATATCTTGTTTACATTTTTTTTCACGGTTGTAATGGCGATCGTACTACAACGACGCCTAGGAGTCGCGTCACAAACTAAGGCAGATAATTGGAAAAACCTGTCTATAGTAGTGCTGCCTTTAAATATCGTCAAAGAATCAAACGGGTAAACTGTAAAAATAGCTGTAAATTCATTTGAACGATATACACATTATATAGAAAAGAAAGCATAACATTAAAAAAAGAATGAAAAAATGACAAAATAGAAAGACAACCCATTAACACCCACCCTCAAAATATAACAAAATTTAATAATAATGAAATATATATAAACGGACTATAGGCATACAATAAATACGTCAAATAACAATAAGCACAACTTAAAAAAAAACAACAACAAAAAATCAACAGCGAAAGAGTGGAAAGCCAAATAGCATTAAAATATAAAGGTTAGTAGAAACAAGAAAAATCAGACGCGTCTTCACGAAGAATATCAAATGATCTGAAAGTGTGAAATTGCAGACTTCACAATGTTCATACACAACTGGATAGGTCAATCTTGCCAGAATTTTATCAAATTTATGTCATTTGTTTATATCAGCAAAGTCTCGGACAAGTTCGAAATTCAGTGCCGATCAGGTATTGTTGAAAGAGTAACGAGTTACCTTAGAAACATTAATTATATGGGAAATTCCTCGTGTACAGTTCTTGCCAGAATTTTATATATTCATTTTAAAGATTTATATCAGCAATTTTTAAAATCAGTACAGATCAACTAAGGCCTTAAAGACTTGGACCTCTTGTAAATATGAATTTTCTTAGAACATAGCATTGTAAGCCCTCCCAATCATTATTTCAAAGGATTGTTATGAAATTTATATGGAAGATTTATATGAGCAATGTCTTGAACAAGTTTAAAAATCATTGCTGATACTTTTTTTGCAGGAGTTATGTCTCTTAGAAATGTAAATTATTTAGAAAATTGCATTGTATGCGTCCACGAGTACAATTCTTACCAGATATTTATATCAAAGGTTTATATCAGCTATGTCTCGGACATCTTCGAAAAATAAGTGCCGATCAATTTTTTTAAAACAGTTATACCCCTTGCAAATATTAATATATTGAATGGAAAATTGCATTGTAAGCGTTCTCAAGATATTTAAAAGGGCCAACTTAACAAAAAAATAAAAAAATCAGCTATTGCCCTTGGACAGATAAAATGTGTGCATCGACGGGGATATTGGAACGCTGTTCTTTTATTGGTTTACGTTTAAATTATACCGTTATTCTAGAATTAAAGGAATTTTCTTTTATAATTGTGTGTTATCTGAAGTTATTTGTATTAGTCCACGGATAAATATTTAATAGGGAGAAGGTTGATAGCTTAAAACACTGGGGGCTGTCTTTTGTCATATCGTGATGATTTTTGTCATTTTGGAGCATTTTGTGTTGATGGAAGGGTTTGACAGTGTTTGTTAAATTTGTTCAATACTTTTGTATACTAGTGCGAATTAGAGCTCGTTATGTTGGACAGATAAGGTTTCTATTGTGAACGTTTGAATGCTCACTCATCTGATGCACACTCCACTTCTCCTTTCTGATATCTTCTTGTCATAAAGAAGATAAATACATAGGTTAGTAATCATACAATATGACTGATCGAAGCCAGAGAATTTCAGTACATTTATGAACGGAACAATAGATCTACAATTATAACTGTCAAGTCTGCGTCTAAAGGGTAAAACATGGTATAAACTTCTGTAGCTAAAAAAGCAGAACAATATTAAATGGTACGGAAATAATTTACAACTACAATTTGTTTATCGAAGGGGAAAATGTTTTTCCTCGCTTATTTTTAATTTGTTTTTGTCTTGTAGTTTTCATCTTTTAGGAAATGTCATGTGCGTGATCTCCCAATAATTTTAGGAAAAAAAACACTTAAATACAGTATGATAAGTTTCGCTATATTTATTCAGCAGAAATGTCACTCAACCAACAATCTTACACAATAATTGAACAAAGTATCATCTTATGTATGGCCTTCACTATATAAATATATACAAGTGGGGATATGCATTTGCGAGTAGGATTAGGTTTCATTATATTAAGTCTTCGTTTCTTTTATTATCATTTTTGCTCTTCACTGTAAACTGAAGTGTACAGTAGATAAAGCAGAAACATATTTGAAATACCCAAAGACAGCATCAGTAGGTAAGCATAACTTTTAAGTTTTTAAAGAATATTAACACTTACGAGCATGAGATCATTCTAATTTTACACAATACATGTTGATCATGATCGATAATGTTGAAGTTCAATATAATATAAGGAAATGTACATTGAGCAGTATTATGACAACGTATTTCATTTTTTGGGAAGGCAATTAATTGAAAAAAAGCGTGTCACCAATTTCGTTTTGTCACGATAACAACCTCAGTTTTGAGTTTTTTCCATAACAAAATGAAGATTCAGTGGCGGATCCAGGTGGGGGGGTGGGGGTGGGTACCGGGGGTTGGACCCCCCCTTTTTTTTGACGATCAATGCATTTGAATGGGGACATATAGTTGGAACCCCCCCTTTATAAATAGCTGGATCCGCCCCTGAGATTATTTGGTTCTTTTTTTAAACTATATATATTCTATTAGTATCGTACCCACAACATGAAAGAGAAGCGAAAGATACCAAAGCGATAATCATACTTATAAATAAGTCGAAAACGAACTGACAATGCCATGGCAAAAAACTAAAAACGACCAAAAGACAAACACCAGTATACAAAACACAACATAGAAAACAAAAGACTGAGCAACACCAACCTCACAAAAAATATATTACTAAAATCTAGAATATAATACGTACACTTAAAATCTATCTTAATGTTACATCATATTAAAGATAAATATTATTTATACATACTTTTCACTGAATAAACAACTACAATACTTCAAAGATATCTGTATTTCATTAATATTTTTGAATGTAAAGACAGTATGGAAGAAAATTTATGTATTGGTTAAGACTATTGCTCACATCTAGATAATAACAACAAGTCAGATAAAGCAGTAAGTTGTTTTCTTAAAGCCACTTTCCCTTTTATTTGTTTTACATGAACTCAAATACTCAAAAGCGGAAAGTTGATGAAATTTACATGAGTGGCATTTGAATATAAAGGAGATATTAGTCAACCCACGAAATCAAATATCCACAAAAATGCGCTTTTTCCTCAATCCACGAAAATTGGTACCCACGAAAATAAATGAATACACAGTAATTATATTTTTCATCAGTTTAATGAGTATCAATTAAAATCATCCGGTTATTTAGATGTATATGTTATAGTGAATTCATAAAAGTAGGGATTTTGTAAAAATCGCTGAAATAATTAGCGATTTTGTGAAATCCCTAACTTTCAGTGATTTTGTAAAATCACTGAAATTGTTAGGAATTTTATAAAATCACTGAAAATATTGCTACGGACTGTGCAAGTTTAACCTCAATTTAAAAATTGTGTTTTTCTTAATACAGATAGACCATTAATTGTTTACATATGTTTATTGAATAGACTTTAAGGTTTGCACCAAACATAATCTTCTTTTTTTTTATTTTGATGTAAAGAATGGAGAAAATATATAGAAAATAATGTATTCCTATGTGATAACATGAATGTTTATGGCAGTATCTGAGATATGACCAAAGCAAGTGAAGCATGCAAAAATGGTCAGGGGACCTTCTTTTGCCTTGTTAATTACCTATCAATTAAAATACAGGTCCAATACGAGGTATTTTTGCGGGGGGTCACGCCCTTTATATTGGCGAGTTTTGGTAGCTTCTATGGGCCTTTCGGATATTTCCAGAAACAAGATTCTCGAAACTTCTCGAAAATGTTTGATAATTTATACAGGTAGTTATCTATATCTTTGATACGGTCCCTCTATGGATAGGCTACCACGTGACTTTTTATATTTCAACAATCAAGTTCATTTGTAGATGGGATAGTAAAGAAATAAAGACTAGGTTGCAGTCAAAAAATCATTGATATATTAGAACCTATTTGCCTTTTGACAAAACATATGTGTTTTTAATGATGCGAATGTTTATTAATTATCAAGTATAATGATAACGCAATTACATAATTCATGCTTTGAGACGGTCCCTGTACGTGTTGTGTGTGTAGTTTTAATAGAGCGTGCTGTTATGCATTGTGACAACAAACCTGGGAATGGTTTATTAATATATAATGTCCCCGAATAAATTGATTATATCTGAACGTTTATCACGTGATATTTTTGTATTTCAATCATAGCCTGGGAAAATGTCGGAAAGCACAAAGAAAATTAACAAAACGATATTTCTGCTATAAATATTTATCTTAGTTCGGACAGTGGTCGGATAGCAGAAAGATAATTAAACAAGGGGTTTTCTGTCAAAAATATTTAATTTCATTAATAGATACTACCAGACCAAGAGAATATTCATTAGATTATTAAGTTTAATCTGAGACTAAATTCATCCTTATTAGAATATAATTAGAAATGTTATATACCACTGTTTCTAAACTACCCCGGCAAAAAATGTTTGGACTCAATAGTATCTAATATCCGGTACGATGACGGACTATCAACAGACATAGAAAAGGTAGGATTTCTGTTTATTTATGTGTTGTTTTAATGATATTGAAGAATATACATACACATATACAACTATTTTCGATTGTGAGATGTAATATTTTCTACAACCGTTCTAGATTAATGGAGAAATAACTAAAAAGGCACATTAAAATGGTTAATTGAGTGAACCTTGCCTCGAATTTGTTTAATTTCTGTTTAAATTGTGCACATTGTACGGAAAGAAAGGTACTGAAAGAAAGATATTAACACGGATATTGCAAGATTAGTCACTATGATCACCTCAATATTTGTATTTCTGTGCATGGAACGAAAGAAATGGTTCATGTCAAAATGGAAGCGGACCCGGTTTTGTCAATGTGTACGACCCGGTTTCGTCCTAAAAGTTTTGTCATAGAAAAAAATGCATAATCGCATGACGTAAATTAAAACCTGGCGTTTAACAGGAGTTTGGGGGCTCGTTGGAAAACAATTTCTTTCAGAGGATAACTTATATTCTATTTTAATCCGTAAACACTTGAATTTCTGCTTTATTGGAACAAAAATAATTTCAATTTTGCTTTGTATAAAAACGAATACTTTAACGGTGAAATGCCAAGAAATGAAGGTTTTGTAACGCAATTTAATTTGTTTTTATATCCATTACGTAAATTTAAGTGTTCAAACTTGGATAGTGTACCGCCTTGAAAATTGAAGGACTCACATTTGATATGTGATGGTTATCTTAATAAATATTCCACTCTACCTAGGGAAAGGGGGAAAAGGGGGGGGGGGGGTATGATAGTTTTAAAATAAATATTCGGAACACTAAATGTTGCGTATAAAGCAAGAGAATAAGACAATTGTATATACATGCAGAATCGCCCTAGAACATGAATTTCCCTGCGGCGCAAAGGATCACAATAATAGTGCGTGAAAAATCTTTTTACCCCTCCTTGTAACTACAATACTAAGTTCAAATTAGTATAATAGTCATATGCCATCCAGAAATTGCAACAATGATTATTTTGTTAATAATTTTACAAATAAACCGTTCTTTTATCTCTTCATTGTGAAATGATTATCGTACATTGACAAATGTTCTTAATTTTAGTGACGGTCAAGTTTATAATTGTCAATAAGCAAGGGCTGACCGAGGAGTTTTTGGAAGGAGGCGTAATTCTATAAAACAGATTATATGCCGTCGAGCGTAGCGTGGGGAATTTTTTTTTGGACGATTTTATGCTAAAAAATCATATATAAATCGTGAAAAAACATGATATGATCATTATTTCTAGCCATCAAAAGGGGAAGGGGGCGTACTCTCCTTGATCCGCCTCTAATATAATATAACTACATCGTGTACACCATCATAAAATTTAATAAAAAAAACCAAAAAAACAGAGACATCCGCCAACTTTGAGTGCCAATCGCGCATTTACTATACAGGCTCTGTAATCAAATGAACTATGCCTTTTTCAACTGATTTTTATAGTTTGTTCTTATGTTGTGCTGTTATACCACTATACCACTTTGGGGGGGAGGGGGGGGGGGAGGTGGCGCTAACACGTTCTGTATGTGTCAGTACCGCATCCAGGAGCCTGTAATTCAGTGGTTGTCTTTTGTTGTTTTATTTCATGTTTGCTCTTCATTTTTTGTTTTGAACATAAATCAGGTCGTTAAATTTCTCGTTTGATTTTTTTTACATTTTTTTATTTCGGGGCCTTTTATAGTTGGCGATGCCGTATGGGTGTTTCTCATTGTTGGATGCCATACGGTGACCTATATTTGAAAACTTTTACGTCATTTGGTCTCTGATGGAAAGTTGTCTCATGGGCATTTTTCACGGACTAAATGGCCACTTAGGTTGTTCTTAATAAGACGTAGATATTGGGACGTTATTATATTGCAAACCAACTTTTATTTAAGAAAGGAAAGTTTAGAACTTGTGTACTTCGAAGCGGACCTAAAATACACGTTTGAAAGGCAACCATTTTGATTTGAGGAAACCAAAACGTTCTTGAAAATCAACTGTTTCACGGTAAAAAAAATTAACAGTTACATGTAAACTTACTTTCAGAATGATTTTATTAACCGGATTTTCGAAGTAAAAATCGGTTATAGATTTGGGGATGTACGGCGGGCGGGCGGGCGGGCGGGCGGCTGCCAAACAGTGTCCGTTCATTTACATGAAAACGCTTTGAAGACATTTTTTTAGAATTAAATTTAGATATGTTGTTTCTTGTGACTATATGAAGGTCAAGTTCAATTTTCACGATTTTAGCTTTTCTCGTTGTTCAGTTATAGCCCTTTCCCAAGAATTCAATTTTTCATCAATTAATCTATTACTGTACAAAGGGAAATAATTCATTTTTTAAAAGATTTTTAAGACATTGTATTAATGATAAATGACATTTTGGATTTTTTTTTCTTTTCTTTGGTAAATTGTTTGAAGAATTTTGTGATAGGTTTGTTTGTTATTCTGTATAAACTAATTTTCTGAATGCTATATATATATATATGTATATATATTAAAAAGTTTTAAATTTTGTCCACGCTGTGCATAAAATAGGAAAAAAAAATAAGGCTGAAAATGCACCAAATATT